TGGTTGGGAAAGAGAACAACAATAAAAATAAAATGGTGTGGTGGTGGTGTGGGTGGAAGAGAAAGAGAGAAAAGGGAGGGAAGCTAAGGGTGGGATCTTGAAGAAGATAAAAAAAGTGAAATTTGCACTAAATAGGACTAAAACATAATGACTTTCTTAATGTAGGACTTAAACTTTTTTATTCCCTAAATAGGACTTAATAATGACCAAGTGAGAGGAATAATGTCCAGTAATGATGGACATTTACTTGAATAATGACTACTTCATAATGACCAAATGTCCTACATTGGGAAATTCATTATGTTTTAGTCCTATTTAGGTAAATTTCTCATAAAAAAAGGGCGGAGTTGAAACCAAGAAAAAAATGGGGTCAAAATAAAAAATTCAAATTTATAAAATTATAATCTAACCCCAAATGACCTGAAAGTGACTTAGAAACCGTTTATTGGACCACTGGTGAAAGAATGTTGAAAGTTCGTGTATTTTTGTGATAGAAATTAAAGTTTATATATACCGAAGTGAAATAATGATGAAAGTTCGTATACCATGGGTAAAATTTACTCGATATGATAGGTAAGTTAAAAATTAATATGGGTAAATTAAAAGTGAATTTTAATAGAGTCTAGAAATATTCTTCCAAATTTTTCTAATTTTTTTCAATTTCATTAAGTTTGTTCCAACTTCTTCATACGTCTTCCTACTCTTTCATAATAATAATAATAATTACTCCATCTGTCCCTACAAACATAGAATGTTTTTATTTTTAAGTGATTAAAGGAGAATGTATTTTGGTGTTGAGTTTCTAAAAATATATTTAGATATGATAGGTAAAAGTAAGATTTGATGGTATATTAATAGTGAATAGATGTGATGTGATATATAGGTTAACAATTAGTAGGGGTAAAAATAATTTTTTAATAGAAATGAAAAAAAATGGGACGGATGAAAAAAGAAAGGATAAAGGTTTTTAGGGACGAAATGATTACTATTTATTATTAGTATTTATTACTCCGTATTATTATTGTTCTTATCACCACAATTATTTTGACCTTAGAAAAAATGACTAGAGAAAAGAGGTTAAAATTGATGATGATTCCAACCTCCCAAATCTCCCTCCCAGGAAAAGAGGTTTAGGAGGCCGGGGCTTAAAGGGGTTGAAAACAATAATTTTACTAAAGGAGCACCATAGATGTCCCAAAATCTCCAGGCCATTATTATTACGGAGTATTATTTTTTTCGTCTCGTAATCTCCGTTATCTATTTACATCTATATAATAGAAAAGGGAAAAAGACTATATATAGTATGAGTAAAACATTAAAAATATATCAAAATAAGAAGTTCGATGTTTTTATTCATGAAATAGGAGCTAAAATGCGTATATAGTGCTAGTCATGACAATATTTATATACAGTGCTACAATACTACAATGCAAACTTATATAGGAGAAAGATCAAAGTAGGACTAAAACATTAAAAATATACCAAAATTGGACTTTCATGTTTTTATTCTCGAAATAAGACTTAAAATACATTTACATTACCAAACATGGTCATGTACATTACCAAAAAGTATAGTGATGTGCACATATATAGTGCGACGACATTACAACCACATTACCATAGTGTGAAGTCCTATTTCGAAAAAAACATGAAAGTCATATTTTGGTACTTTTCTTTATGTTTCAGTCCTATTTAAGGTGATTTCTAAACTTATATTTTGGGGGTTAAAAATTTTAGACTCCTATTTTGATACTTTCTTTATGTTTTACTTCTATTTAAGGTGATTTTAAAAAAATAACGTAAGATCGCAATATATACCGTACAACCGGTTGTATGGTTTTTCCCATACATCCGCAGCGAGTGCTCATTTACGAGTAACTGAATACTGTTGGAACCGCGTGTACCCTCAACTCAATCCCGCGTTAGTGTGATGTTGTCCGCTCTAGGTCAAGCTCTCACGAGTTTGTTTTTGGGCACCTTTCAAGAGTCCTCATACTAATGGTGTTGGGCTAACCAAATAAATGTTGGTTGTTGTCGCTCCGAGAACCCCGCACGCGTAGGTTCGCTACTCCACCCTCCGAACGTGGGCTCTTTTACCACTTGATGGGAATAAACCCACGCAGAAATAACACACAAAATCACGAATCAAATGCAAAAAAATAAACAACACAAGGTTTAACGTGATTTGGTGGCCAAGTGCAACCTACATTGATACGAGACAGTGAGCGCAACGAGAAATATAATAAAATCTTCCTACTTGCCCCGTGTGGATGTAGGTTGCATACTGCAGTTGGCTGAACCACGTTAAATCATTGTGTTATTTTTTTTACAGTTGATTCGTGATTGTATGTTGTTTCTGCACGCATTTATTCCCAACAAATACATATTTTCAAACAAGTAAATACTTATTCTCGAATACCTGAGTACTCATTTGTCAAAAATTTAGTTATGCTTGAAAATGAGTATTTAGTTACTCAAAAATGATTAATTAGTCGAAAAAGACTTGACGATGAATATTCATCCTGATGTATGAGAAATATCGTACATCCGCATGTATGATATAAGTACTCATGTACGAAGTTGTATAGTGTATTGAATCTTTATATTACCCACTACAAGGTTTTTAAATTCAGACAATCCCAAACTGCGCCCAAACCTAATTTTTCGGACAACGCGGTTGAATGTTTGTACCGAGTATATGGGTACACTATATTTTTCTCCCTCTAAATAATTAAACAAATGACATGGTACATTTGGATGCACATTTATTGGTAAATTTTTTGAGTATGCTTAAGTCAAATAAACAATAAAGACTACACCTGTCCCAATTTTTTTATGTGTTTCACTTCAATAAAAATATTTAAAAAATTAATAATGAGTGTAAGTCGTAAAAATGTTTTTAAATATGCGTTGAAACAAAAAAAGAGTACGTGTGAGCACGATCCGTGACAGTTTCGATTTTTAAAGAACATTTACCATACTCTTACTATTCAAACAGTTCGATCATATCGGTACAATTTTGGTTTTATGCCTAAACTTATTCAGTACCATGTCCTTCAGACACGAGATGATATCATATCATATTAATGTGAAATCATACTACGGAGTATAATACTGCGGTTTTAAAAATATTTGTATTCATACAAAAATCAAGCAAAATAATTAAAAAAAATTGATGCACCATTACTTTTATTCATTCTTACTTAATAAATGTATTGTTTAGTTACAACTTTGGACAAAACATAATTGTCGTTTAATTTTTCCACGAATAAAATTATAATTTGAGTTGTACTTTGAGGTAATAAATTAAATTAATATAGAAATGTAAGTATATGCATGTTAGAGTCACACCAAATAAACATGACTTGAACTACTATAAAAAAATAATAAATAAAAATGCATAATTAATATATTAATTTAACATTTTAATGATGAAAGTTCAGTTTGATATTTTCAGTTTTATTTTTGGGAACCCGTCTCTCACCATTCTTGAAACGGTTCAAGATCTTTCGGATTTGGGATATAATTTACTCAAACTATTCGAAAACCCATTTTTCAATTTGTACCATATCACTCCAGTCCCGAAAAATGTCGAACTGGTGTTTTTGACCAGCCTTAAAAAATAGCTTGACACACAAAAAAAAAAGAAAAAGATTTAAATTAAACTTAAAATAAATATAGCATATATAAATTATTGTACCAATGGCAGTGCAAAGCTCTGGTGACCTTGAGGCCTTGAGGTCATTTGTTCAAACCCCACCATTTGTTGGGAGGCTTTTCGCCTTAATACATATATCTGATTGATCAGGATTAGTCATGTTTTGCCAAATTAAAGGTGGATACGGAACACGAGTGGTCATCTAACAAAAAAAATTAGTGAAATTTGTACTAAATAAGACTAAAACATAATGACTTTCCTAATGTCGTAGAACTTAAACTTTTTTATTCCCTAAATAGGACTTAATAATGACTTAGTGGAAGGAATAATGTCCAGTAATGATGGACATTTAGTTGAATAATGACTACCTTGATAATGACCAAAGGTCTTACATTGGGAAATAAA